GGTAAAAGTCAACCAAAGAGTTAGCATCAAGCTAGTCCGGCCACCGCCATCAATCTACATCAGTCTGAAGAAAGGAGGCGACCAAGGCCGACCACGGCTGATCGATGAGCCAGAAAAGATGCTCAACGAGCTGCTTAATGAGTAGGAGCTGCTGACACYGTCTCAGAGGAACGCGTTGAGCTAATGCTAAGCTAACACTTCAAAACAATGGTTTTTACTGCCATGTCCACACGAGCTGATCTGAGCTGGAAGACTTTTAAAGAGCTGAACGACAGAAACTCTGTTTGTTTTCTTAATAATGCTTATATTTCAGCTTTTAGCGATGTGGGGTAGAAACTAGTGCCTCTATTGTGCTGAAATTACATATTTTCTTCACCTGTATTTTTGTATTTGGAGATTCTTCTAATTGTAAGAGAAGTAATGGCATTTATTAGTACTTGTATTAGTCCTATAGGATCAGCAAGTACTTATTTATGTTTGTTTGAAAACAAGGATGTGGTACAGGTGTATCTCTAGTTGTTGTTTAAAGAAACAAAATGTCCTTTTTTATATAAAATAAGGCTGTTGATGAAGCTCAGATCTGTTAAAAACACAAAGTCTAATCTGAAATAATCCTACAAAGAAGAAAACTTCCTCCAGAAACACAGGAGACAGACTGTTTTAGCTCACCGCTGAACAAACTAAAGAAAAGTGAATTCGTGTCGATGTGTTCGCCCTCTCTCGTGATGCTTTCTGTCTCCTCTGCAGACAGGAGCACCTCTCCAAAGTGAAATAAGACCCACAGATGCAGACATTCCTGCATGGTGGCCGACTGAGACAAAGCAACACTTTGCTTCTGCATCCTGTGAGGGAGCATCAGGAGGTTCCTGAAGGTCAATCTGTGGATCAAAGCTCCGACTTGTTTAATCGTCGGCGTGTTTTACTGTCACACATTTCCCTCCTCTGTTATGGCAGCGTCTGGACTGCAGGAGGAGAGGGTCTTTGAGGACGAGCAGCCGGATCAGTCGAATGCAACGCAGCCCGGTGGGTGAAGCCTAAATGAGACAGCACAATAACAGAGCAGCCGGAGCTCGCTGGCAGGTGCAGCTTCTGCCCAACAAACAGATTTCCACAGCTAACCTCACAGTTAAAGCTAACGCTGCTAACCGGCTGCGCGAGCAGAGTCCCCGCCTGCAGCACGGGACACGACAGGACACGACGGGACACGACAGGACACGAGCGTCTCGCTCGCTGCAGAAAAGGAGACAAATCACAGTAAAATAATCCGGGCGAACTCGTGACAGAAATCCATTGTTTGAGGGTTTGATGAGCAGACAAAGACAGAGTGATGGAGAAGGAGAGATGTGGTGATGGGAGGATGGATGGAGAGATTTCAGGACAGATAGCTCACCGGTTTGCCTTCTTCCCTTTTTGTCCGCCTCTATCAGCACATAATCCAGGCTAAGTGTGTGTGTGGGCATGTATGTGTGTGTGAGTGTGTGTGTGGACGTGTGGTGAGCCGGCGAGGATGCACACCGTGCTACATCCCCTCCTCTCTCCCTCTCTCTGGTGATCCCTCCCTCCTTCCTGGGATTTATTTCATTATTTCCTCCTCGCTCTGCCTCACTCACCCTCCTCTTCCTCTCACAGCTGATAGCCGCTCTTCATCCTTTCAATTCCCTCGTCTGTTTCCTAATCACTCCTCTGAGGGGTTCTATATGTTTTTTTTATTTGTGGGGGGGAGGGGGCATGACAGGCTCAAAATAAACTAAATAAATAAATAAAGAGTGTCCCGGTTCTGTTTATCCTCCCCTGATGTGTGCAGCATGGCACAACACTCCCCCCGCCCCCCGCCTCCCTCCGTCGCAGAGACGCAGGCCCCGCCCAGGAGAGATGGCGGTGCCACACAGCTGAGAGGAGGAGAGAGGGATGCTGGGAAAAAAAAAACGAGTTGACAGCGTGGAGGAGAGAGGTGGGGCAGAGAGTGGGCGGGGCTTGGTGCTGATGGGGAATCCAGCGCAGCATCCATCCTCATCATCGGGGGGTTTTAACATTTCCTGTCTGATTTTCTAATAATGTTTCTGCCCATGTTTGTGTGTCTGTTAGTAAAATATCTCATGAACCACTGGACAGATTGGAGTAATGACTGGATGAACACCAACAACTGATTGTTTGGCTTCAAACCCTCACATAAAATGTGTTTACATCAGTTTAAGTTATTTTATATGTCTGAGTCACAAGTTTAAAAGAAAATAAAATCTATATTTCTATGTGAAACAATTGGTCATTTCAGGTAGTTATCAGTGTGTGAATGTTGTAGCASGAGTTTTCATTGTTGGCCTTGAAAATGACTGAACAACAATGTTTCCCTGCGTCCACTCATCATCCTCCCTCCGGTCCTCCCACACCTCTGTCCTCTCCTCAACGTCAAACATCAGCAGAAACCAGATTAAAGCTGAACGGCAGCTGAACACAAACAGAACTGAGTTCATCACACGGAGAACCAGGAGGGAACAAACTAAACAAACCAGACGACTCCCTTCACATCAAACATTCCCACCCAGGAGTCCAAAAGCTGCTGAAACCAGCAAGCACAAGGTGGGTGGTGGGGGGCAATCTCCAGTCCAGTCATACATTAAAATAATCAAACCCATCAGCTTTGAAAACAAACAATAATCCTGGCTTTCACAGCTGTTTTCACTGCTGACAAACTGACATTCAGAGGACTGTGTATGGAGTTAAATTAGAGCCAAAATTTTTTCTAAACCTAATTTTTGAAACATAATTTTAAAACTGAAAAACAAAAAAATTGTAACTGAAAAAACAGCTTTTAATTTGAAAAGTGATTTGAAACTGAACAATTCTGAAACAAAGTTTAAAAACTACTTGTCAGATTTTAGTTTTTTTACAGTTTCACATTTCTGTCTCTCTTTTGACATGGGGGCGTGGCCTCAGATGACGGGGGTGTGGACTGACACATCAACAGCAGCTGGACTAAATATTTCCAGCTGTTGCGTTCAGGAACCATAGGAAGTATAAACATCACTAAAACATCATTGATGTTCTATGTTTGTGTGATTCTCAGTATCCTGATTTTGGAGTATTTCTGGTTAAAACATGTTTGTTAGTAGGGTATTACACAAAGACTTCATATTAATATTACTAAAGTAATGTAGTAAACCTACTCCTAAAGTACTTTTATTTCCTAAGAAGTTACTCAAGTAAATGTAACTGAGTAAATGTAACTAGTTATTACAGACCTCTGACTGGAGATCAAATATAAATATTTATCTGCAATTAAAATGATTTAAAACCTAAAATATTTAGTTGTTTAAGTAAACTGTTGGTTTAATCTGTTTAAGGTCCAACACATTTGTTCAGTTCGTGTCTCTGTTCTAATTTTATTTGTTCTACGGCAGGGGTGCCCAAACATTTTCCCTGAGAGGGCCAAAATWAAAATCAATCTGAGGGCCACGGGCCAAATGCAATAATATAAGAAATGCCAATATTTTTTAAGTAAAGTTGTTTTATTTTTTTATGATTAGCTAGCAGCCAGTGTGGTTGCCCACATTCTTTTGTTTTTTTTTTCTCCCCCTTTTGTTTTTTTTTAGCCCATGAACATGGAGAAAATTCAACGTATGCTCAGGTAGCAAAGGCTCATGGGACTTTTCATAATTTAAAATTTGAGTACATGGGGTATAAGTTGTACACAAATCTATATATGGGCTTAAATCTAATGTAAATGTGTGTTGTAGTTACTTTATTTTAAATTAAATTTTAACATAATTACAATCTAGTAACCAGGAAAACTGTTGGTGGGCTAAATGAAATGGCTTGGCGGGCCAATGTTGGCCCACGGGCCTCACTTTGGGCACCTCTGTTCTACGGTCTATAATTCTGGGCTAAAATCCCAATTTTCCATTAAAAATGATTCCTTCATCTACTTCCTGTCACTTATTCATGGTTAAATTTCTGATGTTTTTTTTCTGTGGTTCCTTTGAGATCATTATTGATAAAATATAGCGCCTCCATCGTCTCCGTCCTCTCTGGTCCACACATCTGTCCAGTAACTGAAACCAGCTGAATATAAGATGAGTTCAAACCTGACTCAGGTTTGTTCCATCAGCTGACGGCTGTGAAACTGATTCTTTGAATTCAGCCGTCAAAGTTCATGAGAGAAGTTCATCGTTGGTGAGTCCAGCTCTGTGGGACGAACTGTTTCATTTGTAAAAAAAGAAACTATCATAATCTTCGATAAGAGGGCTGCCGTGAAATTGACTGAGCACGCCGACATCCCCCTGAGTCCAGAGCCGGAGCTTTTAATTACTGCTCGTCCTTTGCTCTGTTTGAGTGTGCAGGAGGAATCTGGTTCCTCTAATTAAAATAAAAGCTTTTATACATCCATGGCTCTGCAGAACATGAGGCTGATTCACTTTGTTAGCAGGATTACTCAGATGCTAATTAACCCAACAGCTTTGACAACTTTTAGCAGAGGTGGAGTTTTGGACGCAGGAAGTTTGTTTTTGTTTCTCGGCTTTAAGGAGGTTTGTCCCGTTGGAACAAGAGTAACAGTAACAAAGTATTTGTACTTAGTTACTTTACAACTCTGGATAACTGCGTTAATGCGTGTTAAAAATATTATTGTAGTTAAGCGTCGGCTGTTCCCTGCAATAGTTTTTATTTCTGTTTCAGCCAACATCTTAACTTTATCAGAATGACTTTTCTTGTTTTCCACCGTTACTGAAAACCTGCCAACTGTTAGAAAACGTTATCTTTGTTTTTAAATATAACTCAGGTCTCCACGATGAGTGTTTTTGTRTTAAAGTCCGCCCCTTTACAAAAACAAATCAACAACGGAAAAGTGGAAAGCAATGAAAAGTTCAGTGACTCGTCACATCAACATTTAACTCAGGAGCTGAATAAAAACCTCAGCATCAAGTCAAGCTTTGTGACGTTTCCATCCTCTGTGAGAGAAGAGTTCACAGAGAGGTGAAAAAGAAGAAAAGAGCTGATTGACTCACTGTCTTCTCCCGGGCACGGCATGCCGGGCCTCTCCGGGATGCTGGGGAAAACTGTGACAGACAGATAAAGGTTTAAAAAAATTAATTTATTTCTGTTGAAAGGGATCAAGTAAGACTTAAAGAAGAATGACAAACAGATAAAGGGAAATATTTAATGTAAACCTGATTTATGTGAATAAATCTGAAGCAAACACAAAACTCTAATTTAGTTTTGTAACTTTTATAATAATTTATATAGAAGTAGATTAATATTCAGTTTTATTTAGATTCTGGTAGTTTTCATGTCACAGTTAGAAGGAGCATCTGAACGCAGGAGGTGACTCACCGTGCAGCATCAGACCGGACCTCTTGGTCCGACTGTGAATCCGAAAAGCTTCGTCCAGCTCCAGCTGAGAGGAGATGGTGCACGGATCTCCTACAAGCAGGAAACACAGAGGTTAACGCCCAAAACTTGACCTGAAAGCCAAAAGAAGCCAAATACGACATAAAAATAGCTAGACAATAGTAGCTAATAAGAGCTAAAGGCTAGCTGAACACTTGGGCTATGTAAAAGCTAATATGTAGCACAACAGCTAAGAGCTAAATGCAGCAAAAGTCCCAAAATTAAAAGTCATAGCACTCTTCTGAAGGAGCCGAACATTTTAATTTATGAAGGACTAAAGTCTGCAGAAGTAGTACAGACAAACAAAAAACAGGAAAATATCAGTGATCATCTCAGCAAGACCCTGTGTGAGTTCTGTGCTCCAGATTAGAGCTGCAGGAGGTCTTGTTTGAGCATCGTGATGTTCGTGTGTGTAATCATCACAATGCAGGTCCTGAGGTGTAGCAGGAAAATTAAATCAACGTGTTGTCTCAGGACTAAACCAGCACCCGAGAACTGGAGGAGAGGTAAAATAAGGTTAGCATGAATGCTAATATGAAACGAAGACAAAGAGGCAACACAATTCACGTTTGCAGACGACAGAATGAAATATGTTCCAGAACAATAAAAACGAGCAACAGAAGCTGATTTTCACAGGTAATAATACGCAGAGTTTTCAGGCTCGTGTTCAGAACCTGATCGTTCACCTTCGTCGTCGATCCACTTGAGCGTGATTGGCTGCTGCCGGGCGACGCTGCACATGGTTTTCACCTCCTCACACAGCTGTACGAAGGTTACTGAGGCGGCCAGGTCAGTGATCAACATGTAGCTGAGAGCACAAACACAGAATGTTTTATTATTTTTAAACAGAAAGAAGGTGAGCTCACAGAAAGTAAAAAAAAATACAAATAATGTTCAGTTCAAAGTACGATAAACATCCTCCCTTTTATACTTTAGAGTTGGTTTATTATTTAGTCCCACAGAGACAAAAAGACTATCCCCAAACTCGGGGGCTGGGTCTTTCAAAGGACCCGGTCTAGGTGGGTCAGGTCCTTGGTCGACTGAAGACCGGTAAAAAGTGTCAGTGCATTTGGACGGTCTAGCCGTCTGCTTTATTCCTGCTCTTACCCCGGTGATAGATCGAAATGAGAAAAATATCATATATTAGTATTATTATTATTATAAAACAACAAAAATAGCTCAAAGACAATATTTGAAGAACTGACACACGTTTATTTCTCCACACCAGCTCGTTTTATTTCTGACAATATTTAAAAACGTCTATAAAAATGATAAAAGCATTAAAAACACAACCGCTTGAAACTTTTAATCTTTATGCCRCCAGATTTTTATTTAAAACTGTGCTCCTTTCTTTCGCTTCATCCACCTTTACTAGCAGAAACRTTGGTTACGCATTGTGTAAGCTCCACCCTCTAAGGCTATCGCAGATGGGTATCCCTCCGCGCGGCAATAGCCTTAGAGGGCGGAGCTTACACGAAATAGAACAAAAATCTCCCGTCGGGCCACAATGCATTATGGGATACAGTGGACCAAAAAGSATCCATCGGTTCCTCAAATCTGGGAAAAAGGAAGGATGCATTAGTCGGCCACATCTGAGGAGTCCTCAGATTTGGACAGCCTCCGGCGCGGCGCTGTGGCCAACAAATCCGGCCTTCGGAGGACCCGGCCCTTGAATTTGGACAAAGCCAAAGTCTCTGTGGATCCCGAGAACGTCGTGGACTCGCTTCGGTCTGCCAATCATCTGAACAGATCAGTGGAGGATGCCTTCACACCCTGCAACACCTGGACTGCAGCAGAACGTACGTCGGGATGCTTGACCTCCACTACAGTTCTGCTTTCAACACCATGTGACCTGGAAACTGAATGACCTGGGGGTCCTGATCGCCACCTGCAACTGGGTCCAGGACCTCCTTTCAGACAGACCAGAGGATGTAAGGAGGAGCTTGATGATCAGCATACACGGTAGGGGTGGATATGAGATCTACAGAGAATCACCTCATCCTCAACATAAAGATTTAGAAGATAACCTGACTTGTTACCTGAAAAACCTGGAAAGTGCTTAAAGCTACTTCAAGACTTCATCGCCCCCTACTGGCTCAGCATAAATACTCTAAATTAATACTCCAGATAGTTTTAACAAAGTGAGGGAAAACATCAAGATCTCCAACTGTTAGCTGAAATACTAAACATGATACTAAAGCTTTTCTTTAGAGCACTAGAGGGCGTTCACGGTCAGTCAGTGGTCCTGGTACCACAGCTTGAGAAGCAGGGAGTCAGACTTTTCTGGGTTATACCTGCTGAACTGAGACTTTGCCCTCRTTTGAACACTTCAGCTATAAAACAACTTGAGAGAGAGTGGGCGGTTRGAAGCAAAGGCTCAGGGTTAAAGTCTCAAGAGCTCCGGTCTTCTCTCGCCCATTATCAGCCGAAGACTGCGGTACTTCTTGAAATAAGGGCGTGAATGTTCGGTTTCAACATCAGCCCTCTGGGCTCGGCTGGACGGTGTGTTTTCACATTCAACAGATCCTAAAAGCAGCTGACCCAGCTTGAAACCAGTTCCTGGACCAGCTGAGCGGCGTGCGACGGCRTCTGGCAGCTTCCTGGGGCTGTTTGTGGCAAATCTGAGCTGGACTCTGACAAGGTGGAGCAGAGACAGCTTGGCTCTCAGCAGGCTCTGCACCACGCTGACGAGTAAATTATATCACACACACACACAGAGTCAGGTTTGTGTGTGTGAGCTGGAGACGTTTCCCTTTTTTACCTCAWATTGATCCATTAAAACATCTTGTAATTAAATCAGAACAACAGGGTGTAATAACCAACACGAGTACGGGCAACGATTGTGTTCATTTATCCTCTGGGCAGRAAGTCGATACAGGATTTCAAATTAAAATAAAGAATCTTTGATTAAAATGACTTTGGTGCTAAATRGAGAATTGAATTTAGCCGAACGAATCTCACCACTAAAGGTCAAAGTGATAATGTGTCATTTGGATTTAATCAAGACAATCAAGATGGCTGCCACCGCTCAGACATTCACCAACACAAAAATCGTCACAACTCAGTGAAATTTACAGACACTGGGCTCAAAATTGCTGTGGTAGTRGCTGAGAGTCATCTTCAACACACGCTCTAAGCTCTGACACGTTTGTTACAAACTTGGCGTCCTGTCGGTACTAAACGTGGAACAGAAACGCCACATGTTCTGCATTTTTTCACAACTTTGGGCGTCCGGAGTAAAGAGACCAGAGTAAAGCCAACATCATGAGTTTCTTTTGTTTGGCTCGATATGAAAGAGCCGAAACAATCAAACAGATTGGTTTTTATAGACTCTAAACATTCTTGATGAAATCATKAGGTTTAATTTCTGGTTCCTGTCTGGGAACATCTGAGCTGATGTGGTTCAGGTGATAGGGTTAACCACACCGTCGTGTTTTTATCTGAACGACAACAAAGAAGGCGGAGCTAAAGTGACTGGGGTTGAACTGTTTGTAACCACACTGAGGAGAAGTGCTGGCATCGCTGAGTCCACAAAGCCTCGCTCAGAACAAGGTGTCCCGTAACAACCTCATRAACAATCCTGTCAGTTCTTTTCTTCTTTGTATCCAATGTAAGCTGCTAAATAAGCAACATTTGCAATTTTATCTTCAACACAAGCCAGGCTTCCCTGCAGGAATCATCCTCCATCTTTAAAGCCAGAGTTTAACTCTCAGGTATGATGGGAAATGACAGAGTTAGACACCATTTTGGTCAAACCTGAAAAATAAATGCTTGACATCATGAGACGTGATGCTCAAAGCTCATGTTGGAAATGACTTGGATAAATATGGTGGGACAGTGCCATTAAGACCAAAGATTTGAGCAAAGTTTCTGTAAAAACCGACCGTTTTGCAGTCATTTCAGTCGACTGTAGGAGCCATCTTGAACCGGGTTGGCTTGAAAAGTTCATCAGCTGTTGACAAACATCCAGGGATTATTTCCTGAGAGATTTGTTAAAATCGGCCCAACGGTTCATAAACTATTCTGCAAGGTTCAAGCTCTCATGCAACAAGTAGGGCTCGTATTATGAGTTGGGGATGACTCTCAGCTACTACCAAGCCAAATTTTAGCTCCAAAATCAACAGAGTAGGAATGCAACATGTATCTGTATGGAGCTGTCCAATATGTATGGAACAATACAGATTTTTATCATTTATTCTATCAACTTGTCTTCTGAAGATGCTCTGTGTTGAAGGATCAGTGGATCTG